GGTGCATGGTTAGGAGGTTAGGGAATCAACTTTTTGTACAGTTCCCATAGACGATGCCAATATGATGCTATCCAATCTAAGGTGTTCCGAACTGAGGCTACAGTCAGATAGTCCTGCCAACTAGATGAAGCCGAGGTGGAATGATGAAGCTGCACATTGAAGTCTTCAATCACAAGAAGAGTCAGAGGCTTGGGAAGTTATTCCCTGGGTAGGTACTCCAACGCTCAAGTTAGTGAGTGGAAAAGAGATTGGTCAAGACGAATTGAGGTATGTGGGTTGGTTGAGAGTGAGGTGAATGCAAAAAGGGTGTTTGATTGAGCCCTGAGTTCAAAAAGTCCCTTATCTTGAGCGTGGCATACCTATTTATAGTTGGGCGTCCATGTTTTGGTCGGATAGGGCTTTTAGGTTTGTTAGGATGAGGTTGTCCACCAAGGTCTTTAGGGGGTTCCCTCTTCCTCGGTGGAGTTTGTTTCCTTGTCCGTGTGGAACACTCTTTCCTAGCCGTGCCCGTCCTTCACGCGGTTTTGGGTGATGATGCCAATGGGGCCCTAAAGGGCAGCCACAAAGTCAGCTATGTGGCGCCTTGGGCCAACTTAGCAACCACCCGAACAAAATCAAAAAAGAAAAACCCATGCATCCATTAACCAACAATGAATCTAATGAAAATTGATTAAGACTTCTGGGTTTTTTAGATTGTTGAAACTAAAAAGAAATACAAACTCAAAGCTTACCTAAGAGATACAGAGATATAGAGCACAGTGGTGAGAATCAAGCCGGTCCCAATTGGTCCTTCATTCCTTTTTCCATGTGTTTTTTGGCTCGTCTGAGTCATCCCTTTTTTGCTCTTCTTTTGCTAGTTCGAGAGAAGAGAGCACAGAGTGAGACTTACACAGATTAAAGAGATTGGGGGAAGAATCTCAAAGATAAAGAGATGAGAGAGATTTAGGGGAATGATTGAGAAAAATGAGAGATTCAGAGAATGAGGGTGAGCCCGAGGTGTAAGTGTCGACTGTTGACTAAGAGAGATGTCCCAATTGAATTTCCGTTGTAGTCTAGTTGGTTGGGATACTCGGCTCTCACCCGAGAGACCCGGGTTCGATTCCCGGAAACGGAATTGCTTTTTAATAAACGCAGCCAGCTCATCCTTATAATGAAGCCTCTTTGTTTTGCAAGTTCAAATAACCTCCTCCACGTCAATGTGTTTCTTTTCTTCTTCCCTTATTAAAGAAAAAGGACATTTTTTTTATTCAAGCGGGTTTCAACTAAAAAAAAGAAAACACCATTGTCAAGATTTTCTCTTCATCTTCTTCTCTGAAAACTCTGGCCTGTTCTTTTTTTCTTTTCGTTTTTTTTTTTTTTTTTTATCCAAGTTCTTTTGCAAACGCTGTGGAAAAGAGTATAACAAAATCGTTCTAAACAATCAAAATAACATATATTTGATCAATTAAAGCAAGAAAAATAAGTTCAATAGACTTCTACCATTTCTGCTTTTTTTCCCTGTTTTACTCATAAGAGCATGAAGAAACAAAGTCTCTAAACATAGATTATGCTATTTAAGTAGTCGAAACAAAGTCTCTGAACTAGCCAAGTGCCTGTTTGGAAGCAATGAGCTGAAATTTTGGATAAGCTAGTTCAGTTGCTTTGCTTACCCCCCACCAAAAAAAAAAAAAGTTCAGTTGCTTTGAAGCACAAGGATAAGCTATTCAAAGAGGTCAAAGCAAACGGTCCTTCAAATGACTGACTGGCAGCCAAATTGGTCTCTCTGGGTTATAGCTTGTAGGTCGTCCGTGTAAGACCTACCTTCGAAAACTACGAGCCACTATATTTCAGACCTCCCAAATGGATATTTAACTGAATCAAAGCTTATCTTCAGCTCTGCCCTCCTAAATGGGCCCAAAATTTTGAAGATGCAACCACTATCTTGTCAAGATTTAGGTAGGGGGTGTCTGCCCTGTGCTTCTGATGTGACAAATGTTTTTTTAGAAAAACAAAATCATGCATATTTGGCAAGTATTTTCTTAGTGGTTTGATAATTTCTATCTAACATCCATAGGTATATGAAAGTAACATTCTCAAGTCAATAGAATAAATTTCTAGCAAATAGAGTAGTTTTCAAAGAGTTCAAATCTGCTCCCATAGAATGCGTTCAAAAACATCCCACATCACATCCCAATTGTGTATTGGGAACATCTACCAGTGATAGTATGGGAGATGTTCTCAATGCATGCTTAATTCGTTTTTAAATCATTGCATCAGTTTTTTTTTTTTTTCAATACTACTAATTTCAGCACAATTGAAAATGTATTTAGAAAAGGGGAAATCTATGATACCGAAAAGGTTTTGACCAATCACACCCCTCTCGTGAATTTGATAATAACCCATGTTTACTACTTTTATGACATCGGTTAATTGATTATAAGTTTTTTCCGGTATCAAATCTTACTGACATCATAGCCGAACCCTTTGAAAAATATATAGTCAAATTTGCATATTGTTTTGATCATAATTGTAATTGCCAATGTATCCCCCACTTTTATTGGTTGATCGCAAGAAAGTGCTGAAATAGGATGCTAATTCCAAGATTCCTATTTAAGAGAAGAGGTTTCCTATGATTGTGGTTGCATGTGGCCCCAAAATGAAATATAAACAAGCCGGTGTTTTAAATCAAACACTAGTCTTTTCTTTGAAATATTGGTGTGTTCACATTTGATTGAAGGGTCTCACATTTTATCACATGATCATAGTCTCAGGAAACACAATTTCTCTGTTCAATAAAGGTTTTTGGAACTTAGAAGCAACAGAGGGGAGAATTCACCAAGATAGAGATAGAGATGGTGCTTAACATCTGTTGAGATCGTCCTTGTTTGTTACAATTGTTGGATTGAGTTGTGATTTAATGTAAAAAGTTTTGTCTCATTAGAAAGGAGGACATTCCTTTGTATATATGTGTGTTTTGCATAAGACTATGAGTTTCCTTTTTGCCCTTTTTATGTGAATATCTTTTAGAAGAAGAAAGAAATGTCTCTTTTGGAGAGAAAGTGAGGCACCCTTGTTGACAGAGTTTTGCCTCTTGGAAAGGATATTCAATTTTGAGAAAGATAGGGGAAATGAGTGTAACAAGGTTCTGATTTTGATTGTAAATCACATTGAATTATTTATTATTTCTCATAGGTAGGGGTGTCGATTGGACTGGATCCAGACCAATGTGACTCCATTACAAATAGACCAGGTCCAATCCAATCCAATGAATAATTTGGATTATTTTGGATCGGTCCAATTCAATGTTTAGACTGTCCAATTTGTTCAAATTCATTTTAATTTAGATTGGTTTCTATCCAAATCCGGTCCATTAACACCTATATTCTTATGTAATATCAATAGACCAGGCATTGGCTTAATCCAATCAAATCCAATATAAATTTATTATGGGCGGACCAGGTCCAATCCAATCTAATAAATATTTTGAACCAAATTGGTCCAATCCATTATGTCTTTTTAGTTTGTCCAATCCAAACCGGTCCATTGACACCCTTACTCATAGACAACAGGTTAAACCATAAACCATATAAATCAATGTCTTTTCTTGTGTTTATTTTTCTAGATTATAAGATTTTATTAGACCATATCAATTCTTTTTTTAAGAGACTTACTTATGGGTGGGTAAATCTCTAGTATTCTAGTGCATGTTTGTTTTCTATTATTTATGTCCATGTAAGAGAGAATCCAAATTCAATGCCCATCAAATAGAGGTGCCATATATGATAAGTAGGAATACATTTTGGATTAAAAAAAATGTAAACTTTGATGCTTCTTCAAATGCTCCCATGTGCATAAACCTAAATGCAAGTGTGAAATACAAATGTGAATTGTATACAAGGTTTTGCACTGAACATATGTATTATTTGTATCCTTCTTAAATTGAGTATGAATAATTTCCTTGTCAATTGTTTTACCTTTTTTGAACTAGCTTCTTAATAAGCCAGCTGCTTTATATCACATCATCTAGGTGTCAAATCAACTATTTGGGATTGAATTAAGACCAGATTCTTTTTATCCGATTCAGATCAGATTGGATCCATTTGGTTATCTGTGATATATTCATATTGGATGGGGTTGAACCGGACCAAAACTCTGTGCATTGATAGCCCAAACACCACCTAACGTGAGGGAGAGTTTTGTGCCAATAACAAAGCAACACTAGGCACATCACAGTTTTGTCCCGGCCATTGAAAACATCTTTTAATTGTACTTTGTCATTGAGAGATATTTCCAACACATGTACAGTAAAAATGTGCTATGGGGCGTGCTCTATAGGATGCATGCAGATGTAAATTCAAAGACAAGTGCACGAAATTGTCACATACTTAGCTTTAATTTGGAGAGGAGATGTCCCAACTATTGTTATGGTTATGGGGTGCACTAATTAATGTGGTTTTTGAATCTCATAATCGTCCTTCAAAACACTTAGAAAAAATTATTGAAGTATGCATACTTGAAGCTGAAGGTTGGTTCATGCTCCATGCTTGTGGAGTTGTTGATCAACTGATTTGATCCACTTACATCATTATTATTTATAATTCTTTCCGACATCACAGAGTTTCTCTTATAAATCGTAGTTATTCTCATCAAATCTTGTACTGAAAACTCATAATTAATTAAACCCAATTTTAAGGAGGTTAGGCTATTAGCCGATCGATGACCTAGTAATTGAGATGCATGGTTACTCCACGTCTCTCCAAACCTAATAACACAGAGAGAAAGAGACCATGATTTCTTCTACCTGCACCAACTTAAAATTTCGGAGGGTTCTCTTTGTCATTTCTGACAAATTTCTGAAAAACAAAAATAATCTTACATCCAAGATATGGTTCATATTATGATTTGATTATACCTTCTCTATGATTTACAATAAGATTTTTTCAGAATAAGGTGCAGCTCCCATTGGGTGGAACAACATCAAAGTAAGCGCATATTGTAGAATACAAGTGGGAAATCCAATAGAAACTGCAAACTGTCTCTCCTCATAGATGCCAAATCTAACTTCTTATTGCAAAACCGAAGGGGTTTCTAACTTAGAACCCATCAAGCAGAAACAGACTAATTGTAAAACTAATAATAAAATGCAAAGAGAATCTAAACAAAAAGACTACATACATACCCACCTCTCAGGCTTCACATCCTCGTGAATTGGCTTCACAATCGCATAGAAACGAGCATTTTTGCTGAGGACGAGCACTGGTTTCTCCATAACAAGTTAACCCCCACTCATGAAAGCCTTTCTGTGAGTGGATGCAATTCTACGAGAGAATCAACATCAACAGAAATTACCCATTCAGACACAGGTGAACATCTTTAAGAAAATTGAAATAACCACATACAAAAACTAGTCAAATTCCGAGGAACTTACATTAAATAGCTATTACTCTTTTCTCGATTCTAGTTGCTGACTCAATACCTTATCGATCTATGGCCGACACCCCATCTCTACACTGATCGCTTTCAAGCACAAGTTAAATTTGCAAGAGAAGGCAACTAACAGAGCAAAGCTTGAGCAGAAAAAGAAAACAGAGGAATCAACCGAAAAAGAACCCACTTCAGAAATTTAATTAGTCAAGATGATCGGATCGTGTAATTATCATCGTAGGCCCTCATTAGCTATTTCCGGATTCATCCGGATAGAGGGAAGAGATGACTGAGGGCTAATCATTAGTGTATCAGAGAGAGAGAAAGGTGCAATCTGCACAATTTTATTACCGAAATGGTGAGATCGGCTTCCATCAGGGTAAATTAGTGCCCTTACCGTTCTAACAGCATTTCCCAATCTTACATTGGTAATATTTTCCCATGAAATAAAGCACATAAATAGAAGATATTCTCAATGCAAGACAGTAAAGACTGCTCGAATGAACTTAGCCCTGACTGACAATTTTGAGTGTGTGTGCCTGTTTGCCTTCTTGGATTGCCTGAATCGTGCGCAAGCGCTGAGCATCGAGGAGAAGGTGAATACAATGGGCATAATGTCAATTAGGTGCATTCTAGCGTAGAGGGAGATGGATTGGTAAAATTGAGCATGGAGGGCATGGAACGGATGATGAACGTCCAAAGAAACTGGAGATTATTGCCGTGAAACTGGAGGACCCGCGTGGTGAGATGATTTAAGAGTCAATTTCGGAGGTGGTTACAGGTCAGAGATTGGATTATGATAGATTAAGGGTATTCTTGTCCTTTTACGTGACACTTAATGTCCATTAATAGTTTTGGACCAATTTGATATTTTTTAAAAGTCTGAGTACTACAATGACACATCCAAAAGTTTGGATACCAACTTGGCACTACCCCAAAATTCAGAATTGGGCTTTAATCGGGGCAAAACCCATTTAAACAGTTTTTACTGTCTTGCATTGAGAATATCTCCCTGTGCTTTATTTCATAGAAAGATATTCCCAATACAAAATTACAGAGGCTGTTAAAATGGTATGGGCACAGATTTGTCCCGATAGAAGCTGATCTCCAAAATTCAAGTTATTGAAATAAAATTTTCCCAATTTTAATTAAATGTTAATGTGTAATACCAAAAAAGAAAGATGGTGATTAGAATTGGTCAAATAGGCTTAAAATGTATGCATTAGAAGGCATTCCACGGTCAATGTGTGTAAGTGGTGGTCTTTCCTTGCGTGTGTTGGACCATGACGAATACTTAAAATGAATACTAAAAGTGAATCCGTACTTTATTTATGAATATCTGCCAAAAGAATATTTCAAAGTTTTTCTAGAAGTGGAAATCAAAGATAATAATGAATATTACAATTAAATAGAATTTATTTTTAAGGGGGTGTTCTTTTTTTTGGATTTTGAGAGAGGAAAAATTAGTCAATGGGATTTTGGTTTCCATTGACCAAGAATCCCATGTTATTTTTTCATGTTTATGTGGGGATCAAGGAAAGTTTATTTTCCCGGGTAAGTGATACCCATATCCTAGGTGGGTAAATAATTTTTCCACCTAGGGGGAAAGTTTATTTTCTCGGTTAAGTGATACCCATATCCTAGGTGAGTAAATATTTTTTCCACCTAGGGGAAAGTTACCAATACTTGAATGGGACAAAAATGCTCATTTTAATAATGAATTTATATGGATAAAAATGGTCATTGCCTTATTTACATGAGAAATAAAAGAACATGGGTAAATGCACTTACCTAGGTAAATGTTTCCCAGGAAAAACTTACCCAGTTAACTGCATTTACCCGGATAAGTAACTTACTGAAAAGCGAACAATGCCTAAAAGTTGAAAAAAAATAATGAGACAAAAGCGTGAATTAATTCCTAACAAAGGCTTAGGGCCTATTTGGGAGGGCTTTAACCTTTGTTCAGTTGCTTATAATCAATTAGGGTGCAACTTGGGTGGGTTTAACCAGCCCAGCCTGAAATTTTACACAAGTTGGGCTCAGGCCCAAGAAATCGAGTTTTTTTTTTTGGGCAAGGGCCTAACCTTAGGTAGCCCAAACCTGGCTTGAGCCCTATCAAACTATGTGTGTGTGTTAATTTTGCATAGGGATGCAAATAGATTGGATCATGATCCGATCTTGTCCTATTTGGTTGAATTTGGGTCACCTCAGGCTTAGGCCCGAGCCTAACCTGAATGCATTAAATTACAATGTGGACTGAACTTGGATTGGGAAAATTGGACTTACCTCAGGCTTAATTGTCTGAGCTCAAACATTAAGCCCAAATTTAAGATTTAGGCCCAAGGCCCAGGTTGACCATAATAAACCCAGCCCAACCCGCCTGACTTGCACCCCTATAATGAATGAGAATTAAATGAGAATTTGGAGTGATGGATAAGACGAATAGCAATAAACAAGTTGACTTCTTGATGTTTAATTAAAGAGGTCATCCGTGGTTCAGACTTGGAGTATTTGTCAATGCCAATTGCCAAGTTCGTCGATAAACTAGATACGTTTCTTTTTCTCACTGTGGAAAGTTCCAAGAAGAGAGAGAGATAAAAAATAAAGCCATTTCAAACTCTGATGGAATCCATGAGACGAGACCAAAGTCTAGAATTTGAAACTTTGGCTGTTTGCAAATGCAATGGCAATGGTGTTTTTAATTTTTTAGGTTCAGTTTGGAAGGAGTAAAAATGCAAATATATATAATGCAAATACATACAAAATAATACCAAATATAAGGTTTTGCATTATACATATTTACATTTGTACTCCTTTCAAGCTGTCTTAAAGTAAAATGGTGTTGAAAGTCACTCATGTATTGAGAACATAACAACTTAGATAAGTATGGGTGATGTTTCTAATGTGTACTGAGATATGCATGTGAGGTACCAATGTGAATTCTCGCAGATGCATTTTCTTGGACGAATTATAGGCATTCTGTTTTTTTTTTATACATTTTCTTTTGTTTGTCATGAGAGTACCTCTTACTTTTGATTTCTTTAGTAAAGACAATGTGAAATAAGTGGCTGAGTTGCTCTAGGCTCATTGTCCTGCCCAATCATTTCTCATCAGGACAGCTTCGACCTTTTAAGTTACGTTTTCCTTTCCCTTGTTTATAAACTTCTTTTAGAGCACACTTCGTCTCACATAAACAAGTGCTCCGTAAGGTCTTTGAGTGGTTTTAGTGGAGAGTGGAGAATCCCTGGGCCATCAATAGAGATGTGCTGCAAACGTAAATGTGTGAACCTGGTTGTGTAAAGATTGACACATTCACTCATGATTATACATAGTGTGATTTGCATGTTTGTATTTGCAGCAAATCCCATATCACTCCTCGAAACTCACACCTTACTCACGAGACACTACAGCAGCCAAAGCATCTGAAGTACTTGTGAGCAGCATATTCGAGCTCTCCCTTACTAAAGTTTTGGAGGGGGTGTTTGTGCTCATTGGATAACCTCATGAAGTCAGAAAAAAAAAAGCCAAAGAAATAGAATGAAAGAAGAGTATTTATACCATTTTGAAATGTGATTAGGCTGTTATCTTTACCCCGAAAGGCATAATATCATCCAATGGCTACTCTTGCAGGTGAGTTTGGATCTACTGATCACATGCTAGCCACAAGGCACTACAACTTCACATCAGAAACATCTCCCAAATGACAACATGAAAGTACAATAGATGTTATATAAGGTCTTATGGACATCATATTTGAGTTGGAATCTCTTTACGTCAAAAACTGTCCTAATGATTTGTGTCTGCACATTTCACCATAATATTGAGAGTAGATCTGAACTGGATGTATTATATATGATTATTAGATCCGGACTCTTTACAAGCCAAAATTGAATGTATTTACTTTTAGGCTTCATTTATTTTTAGTAAGTGGAGAGAAGAGAAGTTGGTTGGTGGAAATTTTGTTTTTTTCGTAAAGATGGATCATATGATAAGTTGATTTTCCCACTCCAAAGTGGGATAAGTGATACCTATCTCTGAGGAACTGGGATTTGTCCCTCACAAATGGGCATCTCACAGGCACATCCACCGTGCATTAGGAACATCTCCCATGAATAATAACTATTAAGTACGGGAGATGTTCCCAATGCATAATAGGATGTGTGTGTGAGGAACAGATCCGGTCTCATCTTTGAGATAGATAAGTAACTCTCCATCTGGAACAAAACATTGTGGAACAAAATTGCCCCGTCATATAATAAAACTTTATGGTTAAAAAGGTCAATTATTTTATTAAATGGGAACCTATTTTGATCAAAACAACATAGGTAAATGGAAGTGGGGTATGCTCACAAGTCCAACAAAATTATGCCAACACGGTACCAACATGATATGTGCCCTGGGACCCATTATGAAAATGGAACCCACCATAAATGCAATGTGAGAAGATAGATGATGTTGGAACAATTCTTTTTGTGAGCATATCTATCATGACTTAAAAAAAGATCTTAATGGTGAGTCTGAACACTCTGGAGTCCGAATTTGCTATCCTCAAAATGTTCACTTCTCTACCCACATAACACCACCACCATATATTGGGAACGTCTCTCTATGTAGGTATTTGATCCAAACGCCAGTCCAAATCTCCTCTATCAATAAAATACATTCAGCAGCCAAATCAAATATCAACAAAATACATTCAACAGCTTACCAATATGACCTGACAACACACATCTCATAGACCAGTTCTACTTTTATAATGGGTCCCATTTTCATGATGTGATGTGCGGTATTAAATCAAGTTGGAGGAGATTCTATCTCATTCATGGCAAAATTTTATATAATAAAGATCTTATAGTAAATTAAATAGAGGTGTAAATCGGACTGTGCCACCAGTGGCCCGATATAATTTTGAGTTGGCCTAGTTCGATGGTTCATGGGTTATGCCGCGACATGGCATGATTGTATGGGCCGTGCCAGGTTTGGGGTTTTAGGTCAGCGGGTTGGGCTGGTACGGCCCACACTGTCATATCGTGCCGTGTTGCCCATGGCCCACATTGTCGTTTCATGCCGTGCTGCCCATGGCCCGGCCCACAGCCCGACCCATATATATATTTATAGATATAATATATTATATAAATTATAATTATATATTAATATATAGTATATAATATATTAATAAGATAAATACATTTTTCAATTTTATTATACTATTTTATTTAATTATTGTATATATAAGCAATTATATACATCAAAATTCATATAAAAATAAAATTTTAAGTTTTTTTCAATTTTTTAAATAAAAAACTTTGGCTCGGTTCACGACCCAGCCTGGCCCAAGGCTCAACCCACGAACCAACTTGGCACAGGCTTGCACGAATTCAGACCATGAACCATACTGAGCTGACCCCTAAAATATCCCAGGGGAGGGAGGCCCGCCCCAGCCCGACCCTCATTTTTCGTGAACCACACAGGCCGCAACATGCCGACCCAACACGGCCCATTTTACATCTCTAAAATTAAATGTAATGATAACCTAATCCAAGGTTGGGTTCAAATTTATTATGATTCGGGACTCCGGGTTCGCAACAATGATGATTGGTGGCGCTGTCGCGGTTAGCGCCTTGGCCCTTGGATGGATGGAGTCCAAAGCCAGAATGGGGTCCGGTCGAGGCTCGAGTTATCTCTGGGTTTCCCACCCTTCCAGTTTGAACTTCGAAAAGCCTCCTTAAATTTTGTCTGACGTTGTCACTCATTCGCTTCGGTGCGCAATGCGCGTAATTTTCCCTTCTTATTTTCCAAAGTTCCAGCAGTAATTGCTTGCAAATGCACATCAAATGCATTGCATGCGCATTTTATAAAACATACCTTTTGAGATGCTAAAGTGCCACTCAATTTCCCCTCCATTTTTTCGCTTTCTTGTCCTCTCTCTCTCCTCGTTTGCTCCTGCATACTTCCAGCTCGGAGGTCCATGTACCATGTACTCTCTCTCTCTGGCTCTCTCACATCGTTAGGGTTCACTAACCTCTCCCTCTCTCTGTATGATCAAAATATCCATTTTTGGTAGATTTCAGAGAAATGGGAGATCGAGAACTGAATTTCTGCTGCAGATTTCAGAACCTCTCTGAGATTTCCTGCGGGCGTTTCACATAAAAAAATATTTTTAGGGTTTCTGAAGCAGCTTCCCTTTCTATCTGATTCTGAGTAAAGATGCCAGCTCACGGTTTTTCTTCGAAATCGGAGAAGAACGAGGCTGCGAAGCAAAAGCGGAGAGATCCTTATGAGGTCCTTGGCGTTTCTCGCAACTCTACGGATCAGGAAATTAAGAGCGCCTACCGAAAGATGGCTCTTAAGTAAGCTAATTTCTTTCATTTTCTTCTTCGATTTGTATAAAATTTACTTAGGCCATTACCGTCTTTATTTCTAGGTTTTGTAGCCTTCGTTCTCTCGTCTTTCTTCGTTTTATTGATTCTACAATTGTTGTGACGAATCTGGATAACAAAATTTCAATTTTTTTTTTCTGTTTATATGCTGAATTTCAATTTAAATCTGTTTATTGTGAGATGACATGAAGTTATTGAAGTTATCTTATAGGTGGTATGACTGGTAACTGTTTTTGCTATGTTATCCCTTTTAGACTGACAAAATGAATTACGGTATCGTGTTGAAGCACGAGTACTTTTATCAAGTCACTGGCTTCCGTTTTTTATTTGGACGTTTCTGATGCAGCGTGTTTCTGGTTTTGCCTTGGTGAACCAAAACAGTGAACAAGGCTTCCTGTGGGTATTTTTTTCCCTCCAGAAAATCCTTTAATAACTAGTTCTTGTAAACTTTCCAACTCATTCCGAGCTTTTGGTACATGGTGGTGGATATCGTAGGAAATTTATTATAACCTTGTTATTTAACCAGACTAAAATACTTTGGTTGAGCTTCTTTCTGTCCCTTGTTTTGATGTCTATTCTATTTGGACCATATCTAGAATTCTACTTTCTACATTCATGGTACGTCCAATAGTCTTACAGAAAATATAGTGCGAGTCTTTTGACAATGTTATCTAATGCGGTACAACCTTGTGGTATTTGAAGAGATTTCAAAAGTTAACACCTCTGATAAGTTAAAATAATTGGATAAAATTCCCAAATTCTCTGAATTTCCAATGCAACGTTTTCCTGACTCTGATACATTGATCTGAAAGTGAGATATATGCACGTTCATTACAAACAAGTGAGATCTATGTATTGATGTGTCCCTGGCTCTGATACTGCAATGTGTTCTAGTCCAACAGTCTTGGAGGTCCTTTCGTCTGTAAAGAGTGTTAGCAAATTTGGTCTTTATCACTAAGTACATCTATGTTGTAAATAGGCTGGGTGTTAGTGTGAGAACGTGATATGGATACAGAGTGCTGCATTTGGCTATAAATAGATGAATAAGATGGTATCTTTGCTGGTTAAAAGAATTATAAAAGAATAAAAATTTATCATGTATAATAGATGCTTATTTGTTTTGCACAAAAAAGGGGGAAAGCTTAAAAGTGTTGCATTTTTTTTTTGTTTATTGTCAGAGTGAGACACATTTTGCACTAGTATGCTTCATTCTTTAAAATGAGTAGATGGGTCCATATAAGATTCAAGAAGAACTAGAAGACTACAGTTATGTACTCATTAGATATGAAAACTGAAAAGACAATAAGTAAATTATAAAAACAGCGTTCAGTCCCTCCATTCACTCTAATGTGCATTTGGAAGGTGGAGTTTGGCCACTGGGAATTTTGGGGGGGGGGTGGAATTGATCTTCAATTTTTTTGCTACTTGAGTTCATTTTATAAGGGGTTGAATCTTGAACCCTTTCTTATGCAAGTCTAATATACCCAGGTTCCATATAACATTGAAGTAGTATGAAATGATTTAAGAGCTTGTAATTTAACAATGAATATGGTACTAAACAGAACATAATGGCAAAACAGGATTCATATTGCCAACCCCATATGGTTGGGATAAAGCTTAGTCAATGCCATATTTTTATGTGTTAGTTGAATTGAGTGTTGAGTTGCAATAACAACAGGTTATCTATGGTGCTCTCATCTCAGGCCATAATATGGGCCAATGTTGCTAAACTTTAAATTTCTTTTATAATCTTCATTCATTCTGTTTCTTGTTTGTTCTACCTTTATCATATTCTGATGCATGAATCATTTACTGGTGCTGTTACCATTCAATTTTTTCAGGTACCATCCTGACAAAAACGCAAATGATCCTAAGGCAGCTGACATGTTTAAAGAGGTCACATTTTCCTATAATATTCTGTCTGATCCAGACAAACGACGTCAGTATGACACGTCTGGCTTTGATGTAAGAATCTGTGCATACAAATATGGACTACTTAATAATCACAAAGCTAGCTGGTTCAGTTATTATTGACTGTTCTGTTCTCATCTTTGTGCTATTCCATGTTCATATTTTATTACTCAGGATTTGATAGGAGGTAGGCTTAGGTGGTTTGGTCATGTGTAGAGAAGACCATCTACAGCATCATTGAGAAGAAGTGATCTATTGCAAGTTAAAGGGTTTAGAAGCGATGGGAGCAGACCAAAAGGGACATGAGTCAAAGTAGTGAGAAATGATTTAAAGGCCCATGACAATGGAAATCACATCCAATAAGTGATAAAATGAGAGAGAGTAGGCTAAGATGATTTGATCACATGCATAGAAGACCACCAACAGCTCCAATTAGAAGAAGTGATTTGTTACAAGTGGAAGGGGCTAGAAGAGCTAGGGGCATAGTTTTTAAGGCGCCAAGGCGAGGCTAGGTGACAGGGGGGTGCCTTGTTGCCTAGTCGCCTAGGCGACGAATTTTTTTAAGTAAAACCATATATCCTAGGGTAGTTCCCTAGGTTCCATAACCATCTTTCCTTAATAATTATCCATAATTTTCATAAGAGAAGTATAAATTTCATGTTTTTAGTTTAGAAAACCAACATTTTATGAGAAGAAAAGGAACAAAGGAAAGAAAATTCAAAAAAATATAGAGGCTGAACCCCTACTTTTGCTATAGGAAAAGAAGAAAAGAAAAGGTGGAAGAAGAAGATCTGTAAGAAGGCATTTTCTTCAGGCCTTGGAAGTCAGTTTGGTAATGCCAAATTCTGTGAAGGATCTGCTGTATTGTTGGAGAATTGAGGGCCTCAGCAAGAAAGGTACCTTGTTTCGGAACACTATTCCGGCTGCTGCTCTTTGGACTATCTGGACTGAAAGAAACAACAGAATTTTCCAGGGTAAAGCTAAATCTCTAGAGGAAATGGTGCAGAACGCTGTGGGCAAATTACTGTCTTGGGTGTTGGTAACAGAGGAATTTAAAAATCAGTACATGCGATTGTTGTTTAGCTCTCAGTCTTGGATGCGTTTGTAATCTGAGGTGGCTCTAGGCTGCCTCTATTGGCCTAGGCTCCTTTGTATTGTTATTTGATTTAATAAAGTACCTTACCTTTTACAAAAAGAAAAGAAGAAAATGTGTTGATTAGACAAAATTTGAAGTTCTTCCCTTGCTTATTGGTTCAGGTTCTGAAATCTTTGAGGATTCAATCAAGGAACAAAACTTCGATATGATACACCCCTTATTGGGTGTATTGTATTGTATCTTTGGCGCCCCAAACCCAATACACATGTTTATAGGTGTTTTCGGGAACCCATTTTTTAAAATAATATATATATATATAGTTAAAAATGAAATTGAAAACAAAGAAATAAAAAAATAGAGGGAGTATCATTATAAGTACTGATACACCTTTGTCGATACTAGCGGTGGCAATTGGGTGGGTTAGGTTGGGTTTGGTTTGGGTTGAGCTTCAACCCAATCCATCTAACCTGCCAACCCATTAATGACCCAGTTATATAAAATTAAATGGGTTGGGTTCAACCCAAACCCGCTTCAACCCAATCCAACCCGCCCAAACCCATTAATCTTATATTTATGTACTTAAAACAAAAAACTAACTCCCTCGTAACAAATAAGTTGGTCATGGCTTGGTGGTAATAGTAGTTGCTATTTACACAAGTGATGAAGGTTCAAATCACATTACATGCATATTATTTTTACACAAGCGGCGAAGTCATTTGACTATGTTCGGGTTTCGAGTTTGATTGAACCACTTAGGTTCAAACCGGTCAGGCCAACTTGAACTATCTAATTGGATTGTCTTTGAGCTAATCACATCAAGGATGGTTGAACCGTTTAGATCTGGATCAGTTTGGTCAGACCAGACTGGATCGGTTCAGTCAAATGGCGGATTGACTTGGATCGGCCCATATCAGGTTTGTGCACAAGTTTGGGACCGAACCAACTGGCCCGAAGCGGGTCAAGAGAAGTAAATTGGACTGATCTAGATTCGGGTTGAGTTGTGTTGATACGGGCTAGACAAGGCGATCCAAACCAGGCAAAGCAAGCTGGGTGTATTTTGGGTCAGACTGGGTCTGGATCGAACCATCCCGTTGGGACCTGTTTCAGATTACGAGCCGAACCAAGGTGATCGGGTCTGTTCATATGTAGACCAAGTTGAGCTGGTCCAGACTTGGGTCAAGTTGATTAGGATTTATATCGATTTGGGTGAAGTTTGTTGATTCAAGACAAAACTAAGTTTAGTCAATAATTAATAGATAATTAATGCATTAATTATAAATTATTTCATTCAAATGAAGAAAATTAAAAAAAAAAGGCTAAGGAATTAATAATTATATCTTTAGTGGTTAACCCAATGGTTATCCACAACCCAACCCAACCCAACCCATATAAATTGATCCAATGGTTGGTCAACCCATTTGCAACCCGCCAAGTAAATGGGCAGGTTGGGCGGGTTGGGTGAAAAATTGCCACCCGTAGTCAATACACAGAAGTGTATCGATACTTTGAACCATGGGTTCAATACAGCAGTTAGAAATGTTTGTTTTGATTAAACCCTAACAAATAAGAAATAATAAAAAGAAATTAGTACATAAACACATAAAATGAGTATTCTAGTTTAATAATGCCTATTTTGTAATTATAATGTGAAAAAATTAAAAATATTAAAGTATTTTATAACATAGTGCACAAAACTACTTGGCGATTGGGTGAGGGGAGCCTCCAAGGGCGCCTTGTCGCCTAGGTGTCGCCTTGACAACTATGGCTAGGGTTAGGCGGTAGACCAGAAAGGTCATGGGTAGAAGTAGTAAGAAATGATTTATATGGTTTTAAATAGAATGGAGCGGTGAAATAGGATTTATGTAGCTGACCCCATATATTTGGGATAAGGAATGCACGATGATGATGAACAATGGAAATGACACTTAACAGAACACAATGGCTAAACAGGATTCATGTAGCTGATCCCATTTAGTTGGGACAAGGTTTAGTTGAATTGAGTTAAGTTGTATGCAATGAATATGCCAGCTCTCTTCATGTAGATTATTCCAACACAGCATTCTTATGTGAATGCTTGCATAAATAGTCTATTTTAGAAACAAAAAAATTCTTTTCTTTCTTAACCCCAAGCATTCTCTTGGTGAAGGGGGCGGCCACTGTGCAATTTTATCAATGAAACAAAAAATAACCTGAGAGGGGGGGAACATAAAGCCTTACCCCTCGAGAAAACATATAGTGTACCCTTGGCTCATAAAATATACAAAGGAAACCAATCTGAGGCATACTAGAAAGAGCAAAGGAACATAATTAAAACCATCTAATGTAGGATAAACCCAAGGTGTCATCTCTCACTTCTCCTAAATAATCTGCCACCTTGTTGGACTCCCTGCAATTATGAATTATTGAGCAAGAGATACTAACCACCAACTCTGCGATTTGGTGGAATAAATACCAAAGTTTCCAGGACTTGTTGTTCATGCCATTCACCATATTAACCAAAACCTGAGAGTCAGAGTAAGTAACCACATTCCTAGACCCCAAATCATTTATGAAATGAAGACCATCAAGAGATCTCTGGCCTCTGCTTCCATATTAGAAACAATACCATAATAATGAGAGAAGGCCACAAGAAGGTTCCTACATTCATCTCTAATAACCCCTCCACCGCCTCCATGCCCTGGGTTCCCTCTCAAGCCTCCATCAACATTAAGAGCCACATAGTTATGCAGAGGGGGATGCCAATAGACAAGCTTCATACAGAGGCCCACAGTCTGTAACCCACACACCAAAACTTCTTTAACTGAACATTTTCCTCATTTGAGAGATTGATAGTTTGATACTCCCTCCTAAGTTGGGAAGTATATCGAGAAAGAAACAAAACATTTCAAAATGTATGAAAAAAGCTATATGGTTATGTATGTGTATGACATGAAGGTTTTTGAAATCTGATATAAATGACTCTTGTCCAGGCTATAGAATCAGATAGCCAAGAATTGGAGCTAGATCTTTCAAGCTTGGGAGCAGTGAACACCATGTTTGCTGCATTGTTTAGGTAAGCCCATTTTAAATGATGCTCTGCATTTCACTAAAGTAAAGCCTCACGGTACTCATGAACCTTGGCCTTGAATTGATGTTATCACTGCTACTCCTCTGTGTACATGCGTGATAGTAAACTTGGTGTGCCTATTAAGACTACTGTATCAGCAACTATTTTGGAGGAAGCACTCAATGGACTAGTTACCATTCGTCCTCTTCAGCTAGGGCAACCTCTGTTTAGGAAGGTGAAGCATTTTCAGTCCTTTTCTTTTTCATTGTTAAACTATTACTTAAATCTAGTGGGTGCACTTGAAGCTTTCTTTTCTTTTTCTTTTTTTTTTTCCACAGGTTGAAAAACAATGTGCTCACTTCTATTCTGTAACAATAACAGAACAGGAGGCACAAGCTGGGTTTGTTTGTAGAGTGCAGTCGCCAGATAAAAGCAAATTCAAGGTTTGTGCAAAGTATAATTCCATGAAAAATGTCTTATACAACAAATACATGATTTCTCTGTTTTGTTTCTTTTTCTGACTGTATGAAACATGTATGACTTAAATTTTCCATTATTAAGAAAAAATTGATAATATGTGATAAGTATGCAATAAAAATGACGTCAAATTTGGCTAATCCTTTTTGAGAAAGAGATACAAACTGGACAAGTATGTAATATCTTAGGCTTTTGATAGAATAGGACCTGAACTGCATACTTGTCATATCTAGGTTGAGAATAAATTGAGTTCAAAACTGATTGAAAAAATAAGTTGACTTCAAAGAAAAACATTGGATGCTATACCACTACGAAGTAGTTCCCTTTTCTCCTGTACACTGAATTGACTGCATATTTTTCATATCTTAGTTGAGCATAAACTGACTCCGAACCATGTTATATTATTAAATCCAAAATTATGTGTATGAGTATTCCCTCTAAAAAAAGAATTGTTTTTTGTGAATAAAAACATTTAATGTTATACCATTACGAAATAGTTCCTCTTTCTCCTATACACTGAATTGACTGGCCTCAAAACCCTGAACTATGAAGAACACTACTTTGCAACATTTCCTAAGCCTTTTTTTTTTGATCAGCAGCATTTCCCAAGTCTTGCATCCTGGCATATAAGACTTAGCCCAATAAAATTATCAGTTAAATAGCAAAGTCCAGATAATTGTGTTTTAGAATAGTGGTGCTTACTGAAAGGCAGTTATTTAGATGGGGTAGTGAGCTTAGATATTTGTTGGGCTTCATATGGGATCCGGCAAAAGAATGGGATAGTCCTAGTTGCAAAACACCAAAACCTAGCTTCTATCGGGAACTTAAAGCTTTGAACATGAATCCTAGTCCAAGATTGTCAACTTAGGTTTTGAGCATAATATTAATAAATTTCTGCTAATATTCTTTTTAAGGATCCAAAAGTTATTACACCTTTTGGAGCTATCATGTCTGTGTTACCCAGAAGTGTTTCCCTTGTTTTCTGTTTTGATGTTATTGGATTTCTATGCATGTTTTTTTTATCATCTCACTAATTGTATAAAATCTATTTTGTAAACCTTACATGGTTATCCTGATTACTAAAGGGATTGCTTTATGTGCAGCTATTGTACTTTGAGCAGGAAGATAATGGTGGTTTAAGTCTTGCATTACAGGTAAAGACAGTTTTCATAGAGTTCTTTAATAGTGTAATTCGAAATGCCTGTTTAATTCTTTTAGATGAGTTGTAGTGACCTATAGCTACTTTCTTCAAAGTTGAAGGTATGAAGTAATGTAGCTGCTTAATAGCTAAAATAAGTTCCATTTGGGAGGGCTTCCATGCTTTATGTTTTTGGCTTTGCAAGGTGGGATCCACCTGGATATCATATAAGCAATGTTTGATAGACAATGGATACATGGCACTAAACAGAATGGACTGGCAAAACAGGATTCATGTAGCTGACAGATATAGATGGGACAAAGCTTAAATGATGATGTATGTTTGATAAAATAATGCAGAGAGTGAAATTTGGTCATCATGCAGCCATTCACGTGGCAGTTTATACAAACCTCTTTCAGTAGCTTCTTCAAAGCAGCTACATATAAAGCTAAACCCTCCCAAGTGGGCTCTAAGCACCTGCTTGAGAAGGCTTATTCATTTATTCCTAGCCAGGTTTTAGGGGTTGTTTAGCCCCTAAAATTTTTATTTGCACAGAAAAGAATGGAAACATTGACTGGATCAACAATCCAGTGACCCGATCGGTCATACTGTCAAACAATTTGTCTCACTCAGCAGATCATGAGTTAGAAATTTAATCTTTTTGTTTTGTATTTTTAGCCATTTCAATCATTAATAAGAATAATTTTCTTTTGCCACACTTATTCATATTTAATACTTAAACATGATTTTTTTCATAAGCGAAAAGAGAGATTTTATTACTATTGAGGCAGAGGGACCCTCAACAACTGTACAAAAAAATATTCAAGATGAATATATAATATTAGAAACATGCTCAACTTTTCTGCAAAATTTCTGTAATTTTCTCCTTTTTTGCATTTTATCTTTTATATATTCTTATTATATGATTTATGATGTCATGGGTTGACCAATTTGACCAAGACAGTTGAACTGCTGACCCACCACACAGAGGGGAAAGCAATTCTGTTTCTGTTTTCCCCCAAAACATTGATATATAACTGAAGATTTATTGGCTGGAGCATTTCTGCCTCTTTTACACAGAAACAAACAGAATCTTGACAATTTAGTGCCTGACAGGAGACAAAATGAGTGAAGTTATTCATTCTTATTTCACCCAATTGATATAGGACATGGTTAAAAAATTCTTGCTATCAACAAAATTGAATTACATTTACATGTTCTGGCACGGTAGTGCAATTGGAGGTGGACATGTCAAAAGACTCAAAACACAATTTTAATGTACATATTGCATATCCCAGTCATGCTCATCCATTTATAACTCATTTCACTTTCTACTTGGTTTCATTTTATTTGTCATTCTCCTAGCAAAAAAAAAGCATGCCCTTACATTATCCATGCTGCCTCATGTATAATATGACATCTCTGTGTAAGTTGCAATTTAGCTGCTCCATTTAATCCATTTAGTGTGCAGATTTAAAAAATGTATTTGCTTGGACAGCTTGTATAACTAACCTAATTTCCTCTTGGCATAGGAGGATAGTGCAAAAACAGGAAAAGTTACATCTGCTGGGATGTACTTTCTTGGTTTTCCTGTTTACCGGTTGGATCAAACAGTCAACTTGGTGAGTAAATGACATTCCAAATAGTTTTACCAGCTAGTTCTTACTTTTCAAACAAAACTTTCATCTTTAATCCTTATTTGTGCTGCAAATTTTGGTGACTCTAGATGGCAGCTGCCAAAGATCCTGATGCAGCCTTCTTTAAAAAATTGGATGGATTCCAGCCATGTGAAATAACTGAGTTACAAGCTGGCACTCACTTCTTTGCTGTTTATGGTCATTCTTTCACTCCTGTCCAGTTAGGCTTAACATTTTCTTGTTTATGCACATTGATGTACTTAACCCACTGTTTATCTGTGTTATATTACATAATTTCAGGTGACAATTTTTTCAAAAGTGCAAGCTATACAATAGAAGCTATTTGTGCTGCACCATTTTCAGAGGAAAAGGAGAAACTCAGAGCTGTAGAAGCCCAAATTCTAAGTAAGAGGGCAGAACTTTCCAAGTTTGAAACAGAGTACAGAGAGGTTTGGATCACTTTCTGTTCATTTATTACTCCCTTGAACAAACAAGTATTTTTCCTTTTATTCTTTCTTTAGTTCATTATGATTTGGGGTATTACAGGTTTTGTCACAATTTACAGAGATGACTAGTAGATATGCTCGGGAAATGCAAGCAGTGAGTTCATCCTTAATGCTTTCTTAGTCTATGGTTTTAATTAGATAACAGTCAAAATCAGAGTAGATTTCAGCTAAATTGGAATACCAGGAAAAATAACACGGATTGTCTCATCACTTTCATGTTCTTCATTCAATCTTCAGATAGATGATCTTCTTAAACAATGGAATGGAATTCGAGCTCTGTACTCTACATCTCCACCTCTGAAACGGAGTTCAAGTAGGAGCAAACCTAGAGGTTCCTTCAAGGAATCAAAGGGGGAAGATGATTGCCAAGCAAAGGATAAAAAGCCCATGACAAGGGATCGGTCAAAGAAGAAGAAATGGTACAATTTACACTTGAAGGTGGACAAGAGGAAGCCTTGTTGAATATGGTAGGATATCTAACTTAAAAATTATTTTGTTGTATAATGAATCTAATCCAATTAATAAAAGGTTAAGTTTCATCCTGTAGGGGTGTATTTACTTGAACAATTGTGGAGAAACTTCCACCAGCAGCTTATTGTTGATGATTCTACTGTATCTGTGCTCGTATGTTCTTCCATAGCAATGGCTATGCTTTCACGCAGGTATGAAACCAAACAATTTTCTCCTGTCCAAGCCTGTACGGACAAACAACAGAGTGGAGGCAAAGGTTCTTGTAGAATGTCTTCACTACTGCAGCATGTAAAGGGTAGCAGATATTTTGTTATGAAAAGCTTCTTTTTCTCCGGGTGCCTTGGGTCAGAGTTGTATTTTTTTATCCTTTATTGTGCTTTTTTTTTGCCATGAATAGAATGGCGAAACAGGATTCATGTAGCTGACCGATATGATTGGGGTAAAGCTTAGATGATGATGACGATTGTGGTTTTTTACCATACGTTGTTATCGTGTATGATGTGTATCAGGAATTGCTGTGAATTATAACCTATCATGCGTCTTGCATGTATTTTTATATTTCCAGTACACTGCTTTTTCTTTCATTTTCTTCAAGGGATGTGACATATATATAGCTCATAAAGCCTCTGGATTGACCATGTTTTCACTGAAACTTTTGTCATGAATGGAAGCGACTAGCGAGCGATGCCATGAGATCCCCTAGTCATGGGGCTGGGATTTTTTTTTGGTGTTTGCGGCCCCGCCTACGCGGACGCAGCGACATTGGAAAGCGGTTTATAAGTGAAGGTTAATTATATTTTCTGGGAAGAGAGGAAAATAAGGAAGACAAATGAAATAAAATTTTGGGATGGTCAGGTGGTCGTATTGAGGTGAGGCCAAGGCAAGTATCGGCAATCATATAGTAAAGCCAGGTACTGTAAAGCTATATATGCTTATGCTTAAGAAGCTAAGCTAGGTTTTATGGTGGATAAGAACATTAAGGTGGCAGTGGGTAACTTTTCAATGGAAGTATGGAACGTTTTTAGAGAAACAGACTAAAATAGGGTAAAAGATTTAAACATACTCTTGAGTTTTTCAAAAAGATTTAAATATATATCGACTTTCATATTTTATTTTCTTTCAAAATTTTAAAGCCTACCCTGAATATTTTTAATTTCATGGGAGCAACGGGCATATGGTTAAAAAACTTAAATCTCAGAAAACGCTAAAACACAAAATCTCCAACCCCCAATAATAGGAATATAGGATGAAAAGAAAAATATAGAAATAAACAAAGAAACGTGGCAATGCTTACAAAAGTAGATAACGATTGAAGTTTTGTAAATATCCATCTGTGGCTCCACCTTATTTCTAACTCGGGATTTTTTTTTCTTCTTCATGTATCAAAGGATTCTTGAAACCAGTGAAAATGGTCTGCATTGTCACTCTTTTCTTTCTTTTCCACATTTCTCATGTTTCCAATTTCCTGTCTAGAAAAGCATAATAGGATTTACAATTTTTAAATGAATTCATATATGGTGGAAGATAGTTTAAGTCCATCCCACAAAATATGTTTAATCTTTTTTAAAAACTCAAGGTAAGTTTAGGTCAATTTATGAAAATTGAGAGTATTTTAAGTATTTTACCTTTTTGCTCCCCCATAATACCAGAACGCTCCGTAAACTTTTTTAATTTATATTAAGAAGATAACTTGTGCTGATCTCTCTCTCTTTCTCGAAGATCCAATCACGTTTCGTTCTACGATCGTCATAGCCGATGTGGGAGGTCAGCTTCAGTCAGAGCAAAGTCCATTCGAACAGCCTTTATAGCCTTGCATCGAGAATATTTCTGTACTTCTATGCTTTATTTCATGGGGAGATATTCCCAATGCAAGGCTATGATGGCTGTTCGAATGGACTTTGCTCTGACTGAATCCTGTTCCCCCGATGTGGACTTGCCATATACAAACAGGAGGAACAGGATTTGCTCCTCACACTTGGGCACCTCACATGCACATCCACCGTGCATAGAAAACATTTCTTGTGAATAATAATTTATAAGTATGGGATATATTCCCAATCAAGGTTCAAAATATCAGTATGCTTGATATGTTGGTATGGGCATATCGAGCGAATCAATACTGTTTTTTTTTTCTGAAACCGGTTTAGGGGGCTAGTTTATGGTTCCTTCATCCCCTAAACTGGTTAGACCCCTGACACACCCATTATAAGGGCGTATCGGAGGGGTCCGGAATGATACATATTGGCCGATACATATCGATACTTTGAACCTTATTCCTAATGCATGGTGTGCATGTGAGAAACAGATCCAGTCTACAGGATGGAGTGAGACCCATAAAGAGTTAAAAGCCTATTTAATTAAAACCTGAGTTGGTGCCTTGTGGAAAGAAAGAACAACGACGACGGAAATAATAATGGAGAAAAATTGATCTTTTCTTTTTCTTTTTTGGTGAAAAAAAAACTTATCTCCCTCCTATAAGGATGAGATGTTTTCCATGTATGCAGAGTTTGTGTGGGCCAGAGATCCAGACTCGAATCCAGGATGGATTCATTCCCCATAATCCACAACAACGTCAACGTGATTATTCCCTATTTCACGTATGTAGTACAGAAACAAATAGAATGGTAGAAAAGAAAGAAAAAAAATAGCAAGAGTAGATTGAGATGGAAAAACAATATCAACATCGTCTCCATTAATAATTTATTATTTTTTTTCTTTCTGATTTTATGCCTCCCCAAGAACAACTCCTGCCAGCCCAATTTCAATTGAGGAAAAATTATTCCAATGTAGATGTAAATTTATAAAATTACACATACACATTCTTAAGACAAAGATAAAGATAGAAAATCTAATATTTTATCAGATCGATGAAGGATAAAAAAAATAACAGAACAACTGGTAATAAGCAAAGAATATTCATCATCATTTTCTTCCCTCATTCTCTTTTCTGATTGGGTCGATCAATCGATCATCATCATCAGCTCACCACCACCCATTGTAATAAATAATAAAAGATTCCTTTTTTTTTAATAAAAGAAAAAAAAGAACCAAAGTTAACCAACCAAATCAAGTTCTGATGTTGTTAAAGGAATCACATCTGCGACGGATTTCCCCCTTTCGTCCGGTCTTCACACTAAGAACACTCAGCTTCTCCATTGCATGACTGAACGACTGAAAGAATGCAGTCTGATTTGCTGCGAACATTTCCACGTATGGCTTGGTCCTGGCATCGGCCATCAATATCTGGTCTATCTGCAACAACCCTAAACCTCTCTGCAGGTTCTGGTAGTACATGTTGTCGAACTTGCCGGGCGTCATGACGTCGTTGAAAGCGGCCATGGTGGGGTTGGTTTCATAGTTGGCGCATGCCTTCCTCAGCCCCTCGGCGTACTTGGCATTGAGGGTGGGATCGATAGGCGAAGTTTTGCTGTAGTTGTAGATCCTGCCGGCGAACTCCTTGCAGTGAGAGAATCCGATGGTGTGGCCACCCATCAAGGCCACAAATTCGATGACAGTGAACCCCTTGGATGCGAAGAAGGTAATCATTTCGGAGACGGAGGATTTGACGGTGGGGAGATCGACCCGGCTGGCCTGAGAGATGAGACCATCCTTGCGACCCAAACGGACAGTGTAGAAAGGGCCACCAACCATGGTGATCAAGTCACGGGTGGCATGGGCTAAGATGTCAGCGCAGGATACAACTCCAGGGCAAGTGAGCTCGAGGGCGGTCTTGGCGCGAACAATGAGATCGAAGGCGTCGCCTGGGAGGGAGAGGTTTACGTCGCTGTCGCGCTCGGCTTTGTTGAAGGCATTGGAGGAAATGAGGACTGAAGCATCACAGCCCTCGACCATGCAATCGTGGAAGAAGAGGCGGAGGGTGCCGGCGGCAGTTGTGGGGCTGGTGATTTGTTTGCTGGTGACAATTTCTCGAATGGTATCTTCGAATTGGGGACATGATTTGCTGTAGTAGTCGGTGGTGAGCTTGGATTCAGAAGGTGAGATGGTGAAGGATGAAACAAAAAGGATCCCAAGTAGTAAAGAAGGCAATGCCGCTGCCCCCATTATTTACTGCTTCACTCTAAATAACACCAACAATCCTCTCTTGTGGGGCGTGGGTGGAGCAGGGGCGGGATGGGGGGGAGGGGGAGACGATTGAGACCTGCTTCCTCAGGCGAAGGATGGGAAATAGGGAGAGATGGAGAGGAAGCAGATCTGCTTCGTTTGTGGAAAATGGGACTAGATTTGGAGGAGAAAAGCAGAGTGGGAAAGAGGGAGGCGTGTTGTGGAGGAGAGGGGTTTTAGGGAGACATGGGCTATATTTGGAAGAAAGAGAATGAATCGAGTTTCTTATTAGACTTTTGGTTTTCATTCCAACATTTGTTTTATCTTTTTTGTTTCTGCGTTTTCTTTTAGTGGGGAAATGGAGATGGAACAGAGTCAACAGACATCAAAAAAAGGGAGAGAGCCAGAGCCGTAGAGGTGGAGTACAGGGGAGGGTGTGGACCCTGCGACCCTGGCCTGGTCGTTACCGGATTCCGAATTCCGATTATTAGGGGCGGACGGAGGGAAGGAGGGGACGAGCTCTTCTTTTTGAGCGTGGATTGCGCTCCTCCTTCTCCAGACTCAGACAGTCAGAAAAAACCTTGGATTGGCATTGGCTGTTTGGAAACGACAGCCTGGGCTGTTTTCAACCTTCTGGCTACATCTTGACACGTTATCCTATTGGTTGCAATTACTCTTTTTACCCTCACCCATGTTAACGTGTCATACACACGAAGTTTCAAAACAGCCCAGCGAAGGCTGTCTTTTTCCAAACAGCCAAACTTTAATGGCTGATAAACGATGATCCAATCGCTTGATCAAGGCAAAGTTCGGTGTATATTATAAACGCAGTCAACTATGAAAGGGGTATGTACTAAGTATGTGATTACAATCAATTCCTGGGGCTCAAGGAGCTTAATCTACATAAACCATACATTCCCCTGTGCCGGAAAGGGTGTATGAAGTAAGATCCCTAATTATATTGGTTGTCCTTATGCTTCATGATCCAGTTGGCAAGATTTATTCTCAAGGACCGTTGCAGCCCTCGAAACAAGAAAATATGTGATAAATTATAAGAGAATGACTGTTTAGCCCACTTCAGAATATATACAGATGGGATGAATCTTGACCATGGATGTGGATTGATGTCAAATTCATCGGCAGGATGCGATTTATAAGATTACTGATAGATTATGGGAAGTTACGATTTAAGCTCACCTATATTTAAATATGTAAACATGGTTTAATTAGGCGGAACAAGCGAGGCCTTGCACTTCACCAAAAACATAAGCCCATCCGACCTCGTTGGGCCTAGCCGAACTTGGACCGGATTCGTTTCCATGGATACGTCTCCGCTGATGTGCACTATTAACATCTAGCCCAGGACCAGGAGTAAAGGTCCAAGTGATGAACACTGAAGAGGAGCCATTTGGATTGGATCGGCATTTCTTTAGCTATTCCTGTGTCGACTGTCGAGCCTTGCACAAAGAAATCTCCTCGATTCACTCCTCCTTGTACTCATAAATCCTTCAAGCCCTCGTGCTGTATTGTTCGGCCGCTGCATATCTCTGCTGTTCTGTCAACGGAAACAAGAGAATATTGTCTAAGTAGATCCAAAACATGTTGACTCCCAATCCCAAATCTACCATCAGATTTAGGATATGGGTTCTTCTCTTCTCACTGTTTTTTCTCGCTACCTCCAATTTAGCCAAATCTGAAACCGGTTTTCGAGCAACTAAGAAGAGATTTATGAGAGAGAAGGTCCGGAAAATGTAAGAAAATCGTCAGTTTTTATGCTTTAATGTACATGATTTTTAAATTCTCTGCTACACATGGTCTGTTCTGTTTAGTAATTATTGAATTTGAGTTCAACGGAGTTCTGTTTGTTTTAAAAGCTATTAACTTTGCAATCCTTGTTTGTTTTCTTTAATTCGATAATACGCTATTTTAATTTTGCTGATGCTAAGTTGAATTGTTAGTGTGGTGCTTTTTTTTTTCACGATAATTTCATTGTTTCTGACCGAAATTTAGAAGGACCGATAAAAAACATAGCTTTTATGAAGTTCTTATCTTGTAGCCATGGTCTCTCTAAGAATGGACTTTTTTTTTTCCTGCAAATGGGTTGTTTTTTGTGATAAATTTTAAGTTATGTGCTGAAAGCTTGAAAGTATAACCAGAGATACGGTAACTTCCAAATTTTGTGGGAGCTAATAAGCGCAGCGTTTCTTCTAAAATCGAAGGTGCTCTATAGCTCCTACAGGAAGATGGCGTGTAATCTGAACTACCGATTTAGTCACGGCTAACTCAATTGGTACTATGCATTTGCATATGCTTTTTCTCGTGTACAAACTACAAACTACAAAACCGGTTTTCATATACATTACATTACGTATGTACCTACATACCAACTTACCTGCATACGCATGTTATCAATTCTAGGCGCGGGACTATCTTTGCTTACAACTTAGATGCTTGTTTTCCTTTTCAGGTTTTACCATGCATACAACAACTACATGACTTATGCATTTCCGGTCAGTTCGAAGTCCATGAAAATTGTTGCAGATTGATAAGTTCTAATTCATCCACTATAAAGTTGTAAATGGCTATACTACTGTTTTGCAGCATGATGAGCTAAAGCCTCTTACGAAGACATTCGCTGACTCACTTAGTGAGCTTGGAAATTTGAAGGTGATGGTTATACACTTCTTAGCTTCCTTTAGAGTTTATATTTACATTAATAGCTTTTCTAACAACATTCTCTCTCTCCTCAATTTTCAGCTTGAACACTTACCTCAAAACTATAATGGATCAGCGCTTACACTTATCGAATCATTATCCAGGTAGGGTATATGAAATCTTTGGATATTTAAATTCTGAGCAGTACATGTGATCCTTATCCGTTGGTTTTGGTTTCAGGCACACTTGGGTATTTTTATAAGTCTACCATATTAGTTTCATTTTAACAACTCTTTTGGGGGTCTTATAACTTATATCACTTCTTTGTTTTTGCTTATTTGGAACTAATATTATTGTAAAACTACATGAGCTCACTGTTCTGATATCATGGCCCCAAGTCTTGATTGTCCTTTTCCTTTTCATTCTACTTTTGGCAGTCTTGTTGTATTGGGCAACAACACAGAATTTGAAAGAGCAGTTCTTTGGCTTTCTGAGAATCTCACCTTTGACGTTGATGCAAGGATAAACCTATTTGAGGTATCCAACTCAAGCAATTTATGTTCATACATAAATTTTCCTAAAATTGGGTGAAGAAAGGTGGCAGTCATTTTTACTGATGGTTGTCACTTGTAAGCTGAATGGTATTATGTTAATAAGTTAAATATGAAGTGCTCTGATGAGCTTCCTTCCCCTTGCTTGCAATTGTGTAGTGCAACATAAGAGTTCTTGGAGGGCTTCTTTCTGCTCATATTCTTGCAACTGATTCTAGGAGCAGGTTGGTTCAAGGGAAATATAATAATCAGCTTCTTGCTTTGGCTGAAGATTTAGGAAAGCGCTTTCTATATGCATTTGCTACTCCCACTGGATTACCATATGCATGGGTTAATCTTAAGGTATTTCTTAATTCATTTTTAAGTTAGTAGACTGTACCTCATTTGCAAGTTTATTTTAATCAGAAAATTTTCTGTACCTTTAAAAGCATAATTGGAGCATAATATAATAATGACATAGACAAAATGCAATGCATGAATAAAAGTGTAACTGTGTCTTTTACAAGCAACAAGACTATTAGAATAACTTTTACATGTGATCTTACATAATGCAATAAGTGCATCAAAAGTAGACTATGCTCACGTGGTGACATAGTAATGTGTTGCTGAATGCCTTCTTTCAAGTGAAGAAATTAAGTCCTGACTAGGGTTCTATTAAACATTATTCATGATATATGAAAATATAATGCACTGCTGCTTAAGTGTCTTTTAAAAGTGAGAGCCAACTCCAAATTTGTGCAGCATGTCTTCTTCACAGTAGTGGTTTATTTAGGAGATATATTGGCTTTGTAATCTTTCAGAGTGCTTTTATCATGATAGGGGACACTTTAATATCTCTGTGCTTACATTATAACATGTGCAGGGGATTGAAAACCACCTTTTGATAGGTTCCATCTAGTGATCAAGACTCAAAGTGCTGTTTTAAAATCATTAGAATTGTCTCTTCAGTAGAACTTAAGTTGTATATGTTTAGCCATTCAAGTTTGTTTCTGCAGATTGGATCTCCATAAATTTCATGCTCCAGGAATGAAAAATATCATACATCATGTAAAATGTACAAGTGTTAGAATATACAAATACTAGTAGAACTTGTTCATAGGCGTTCCATTCTTACATGAGGTTTTCGATATGATCTTTTGAAATTTGAAAAGTATTGATATAACTCGTTGGTTTTGTTCATAAGAGGGGTTTTATGACTCTACATCAATGAGAAATTCTGTGATGGACAGTATGGTGTGATGGAGAATGAGACAACTGAAACAAGCACTTCAGGATGTGGTAAGGGCTTATGCCTTGTCTTTACATTCTAGAATGCATCTGTAGATGAAATTTCCTATCATTTTCTTATACTTCTTTTATAATTTTTTGGAATTTAGGTTCACTCATCCTTGAAATGGGGGCATTATCAAGGTTAACTGGGGACCCCAGATATGAAGCTGCCGCTTTGCGTGCTCTTCATAAGCTATGGAGCATGCGAAGTCCTTTAAATCTCCTAGGAACTACACTTGATGTGGTCACTGGGGAATGGATAGAGTATTCATCTGGCATTGGGGCTGGTACACTCTCTTTATTTTCTTATCTCCTCAGTATTCTAGCGTTCATTCCATGAAATTCTTTTGATTTACTTGAATTTTCAGTTTCATTAGGTCAGTGAATTAAGTGAGTTTGATAGCCTTGCCCTCTCTGACTTTCTGTTTGACTTGAAATGTCTTGTTAAACTTAAATGGTATGTTATATTTTTTATATTAGCTTTACATCTTTGTCATTGAGTAAATACTATGTTTCTGATGCTGGTTTCTGGGGACCTTATGTAGGAGTTGATTCCTTCTATGAGTATCTAATCAAAGCTCACATTCTTTTTGGAAGGGAGGAGTTCTGGGACATTTTTCATTCTGCATATGTTGCTGTGCAGAAATATTTCCGGCATGGACCATGGTACTGCACTGAAAATTTCTTTTATAGTTCAGATAGCATTTTATTGGTTGTCTACTTGTTCAGTTGTTCCTTGATTTATTTTATTTTAAGGGTTATACTTTATCTTGGATGCCATGATTGTTTATAACTTGCTGGAATTAAAATAATATCTTAACTGGCTCCTAAGTGCTTTCCAAAGTAGATACCTAAGGCCAGAAAAAGTAAAAAGGGCCATTACCCAAGGATCCACTTTTGGTAGTTGAGATCAGATTTGAACTTTGCTGTGTCAGATTGGGTCTCGTTTTTCCAGAATTTGATCAAGTCGATAAAGAGGTCTCAGGGGACTGATTTGGGGAAGTTATGGGAATGCAAATTTGTAATTTGATGATATGCTTTGATTTTCTCCTTGTTTTTGTTATGTGGTATTACCTTAACACCTGACAAGATTGTATGGATTTTTACTTTTAATGATTTTTTTTTTCATTTACCATTAAAAAGATCAGATTTAGCTTTGGAAACAGCCTCTCTGTATGTGCAGGGGTCAGGCTGTGTACATCTGTCCCTCTCCAGATCCCGCATTGGCAGGAGCCTCATGCACTGGGCTGAACTGTTGAATTTTTTGGATCATAGCAAACAACGTGACTTCTTTTTCCCCTTTTCTTTTCTTTTAATGAAAAATTTTACAGAAGAGGGAGCACTTTTGAATTTTGTTAATAATTGAGGATAAGATTACAACTTTTTTCT